CTGATGGGAGGAATGTATCTACTCGTCAACACGTTATTGCAGGAAGGCCTCGACCAATCAGGCTCGTTGAACTCGACAGGAAATGTGGACGGAGTGTCCGAGAGCTAGGACGACGAGTTCGAGGAAGGAGAGATTAAGGAGACTTTTCATGCAGAGGAGTACGACGAGATCTACCTAGAACTGGGGCTTCTTCTGTCATGTGAAATGCGGCTAAGGGATGCAAGCGATAGGGCTCAGAGGATGTTGAAGCGCTACTTAGTGCGAGACGACCACCTTTTCGTGAGAAGAGAAGTGGGGAATCCCAAGAGGGTCGTCTGCGGTAGGAATCGTCAGATCGACGTCGTAGCAGCACTACATGATGGCATTGCAGGAGGGCATTGAGGGGTGCAAGCCACGTATGCCAAGATAAGTGAGTTGTACTACTGGGATGGAATGATGGACATGGTCGGGAAATTTTGTCGATCCTGCGTGCCCTGCCAGGAGAGATCCCGTTTAAGGCAGGGAGAGCCGTTGCATCCAAGGTTAGAGCGAGAGGTGGGGGCCGTAGTGGATCTCGATCTGCTTTTTATGCCACTTGGGGATCAGGGCTATAACTATATCTTTGATGCGCGCGATAACCTGTCTGGGTTCGTAGACGGGCGTGCTATTCGCACCAAGACCGGGTTAGTCTTAGTGAGCTGCATCGAGGATTATTACCTGCGTTACCCTTTCGTCAAGGAATTCGTAATGGACAGGGGATCGGAGTTTACCTGCCAGGAGGTGCAAGAATTGTTATCAAGGTATGGTGTAGCAGCCAACTACACCACGGCCGCGCACCCCTAGGCAAATGCTCCCGTAGAGAGAGGACATAGTACCATTACGAGTCTCCTGGCTAAGTGGACCGAAGGTAGGCCTAATCAATGGCCAAGATACCTAAGGGCGGCGTTCTTTGTCGAGAACATTACAATAAAAAGATCCACCAAGCACGCACCGGCGACATTGTGGTATGGAAGGCACGCCACCTTCCCTATCGAGAGTTTTCTTAAGATATGGAGGCGCCAGGATCAGGAAGTTAACCTGTCATTTGAAGAATTGCTCGATATTCGGGCGCGACAGATAGGAGCAATAGAAGAAAGGATCCAGGAGGCGTCTGACCAGGTGACGAGAAGTCGTATGGACGATAAGGCTCGATGAGATCAATCTGCGCGGGTGAGGAAAGTGCCCTTGGCAGTTGGAGATGTCGTGCTTCTCTACGATTCTTCACTGGAGAAGCAATGGTCCAGGAAGCTCGATAAGAGGTGGTTAGGTCCCTACCGGATCGTACGGGTCGGAGACTTCGGAGCGTATCAGATAGAGGAACTAAATGGGATTGAGTGGAAGGATTGGGTATCTGGAACGCGACTGAAGAAATTCGTGGCGAGATAAGAGGTAAGAAAGATGACCTGACTGCCTCTAGAATAGAAGTAGCAGGGTGTGTAGGCTAGGTAGGATGTATGCTGTGTGAGTGTGGTCTGGCCTAAGTTTGCTTGATTATCACCTGTTTTGCTTACCCCAATGTGTGCCTGTTGTCTCCTTCGCCTGTTGTGTAGGTCTGACTTTACGAAGACAGCCATGCCAAGAGGAGGGAGGGGGACACGGCTACCTCGGAGGCCGTTGGGAGCATCAGGAGAATATGAGCGACATGGGCCTCGCCATCAAGAGTGTACTCCAGTATACGATGATGGGGACATCGAGCTATTCCTGGACAGTTTTTGGGATCATGCGAGGCGTATGGGCTGGACTGTGGCCCAAGCAATCGAGGGAGTGACGGGAGTCGGCAGATTCGAGGAGCCCGCGCGGATCCGTAGAGAAGCGACGACGAGATCAGAGGTGGAGTGGAGGATGCAAGAACTGCGACCCTCGCCTGTGGGACCAGATGGCAGGCCGATCCGTCTAGAGATCGAAAACGTGGCAGACTTCATCCCTGCTTTCGAGTGGTTTATGCAGGGGCAGGGTATACCGAGAGATGAGTGGGCAAGGGCGCTACCACTCTGGACCAGGAAGGCGGAAAGGCCGCTGGCTAGCCAAATCAGAGACATGGCCCGGGACTGGGAAAGCTGCAGGGCACATCTAAGAGAGGCCTTTCGACGACCAGAGTCCCCCCACCCCAGAGTCGAGAGACGTCAGAGGAGTCAGAGGTCGAGAGACCCTGAGCCCAGGGAGGTGAGACCGTCTCGGGGAGGACGGAAGGCCCTAGCCAGGAGAGAGGAGGAGCCGGAGCGGGAGCCAGAGGTTGAAGAGTGAGGGGCATACCCTGAGTGTGGGTTGGGACCAGTGGAGTTCCATCGTTTTACTGAGGGTGGATTGAGGAGGTCACCAGCACACACACGGGAGGAGCCGCCAGTGTCTGAAGGGCCGTTGAGAGAGTTAGAAACGCATCTGGATATCTCTCAGTGGAAAGCGTCGCCTCAGGATGAGAAGCATGAAGAGCAAGTAGAAGGGGTGCCACGAGAGGAGGTACCACAAGAGGAGGTGCCACGAGAGGAGGCGCAGGGTACTCAGCAAGAGAGCAGGCTAGGCGACATGGGGCGACGTGCAGGGAAGGAAGTGATAGAGGTTGGATGGGACACACCCCCACAGGCGCCAGCAATGGGTTTGAGACTCGGGGATGCACCAGGGAGCGCTCGTCAGGCAGAGGAGAGATTGCGGAGAGAGGGGGCCCCACTTCCTTCATCAGAGAGGGCTCCATCGCCAGAGGGGAGAGCCGGCAGGAGGAGAGAAAGAGCAGCTGTAAGAAGGGAAGCCTTGACCCTGATTGATAGGCACCTAGCAGCTTATGCCCTGGAGCATCCAGACCTGGAGGAGCCAGCACCTGCTGAGCCACGCCGGGAGCCGTACCAACTCGAGAAGGGGATGGAAGCAGAAATCCCAAAGAGGGTCGACCTCCGCACGAGGGAAAGGGCGCCAGCTGAAGAGACGGCTGAAGAAAAGAGGGCGAGAAGAACTAGACGGATAGATGAGATATGGCAGGAGAGGCAGAGGTTGGAGGCAGCAGGGGAGCTCCCGGAACAGCAACAGGAGAGATAGAGATCGGAGGCAGCAGAAGCACTCCCAGGTCAGCCACCCAGCGCGCCAGCTAGGGCCAACGAGATTCCTGAGATGTGGAGAGACTTCTGGGAGCAGAGAGGAGAGGAACTTCCATCGCCAGTCAGAGCCGGGTTTGGGGTGGCCAAGAAGGCGGAAGAGAGGTTAGATCGTAAAATCAAGTTTTTGGCCAAGACCACTTTTGACCGGCACTTGTTATTGGAGGGCGATTTGACAGGAAAGAAGATAAAGGAAGCAAGCCATGGAGTACGCCTGGAGGCTATGAAAATGGAAATTCAGGAACTCAGAGCCTTGGTGGCCAGCCAAGCAGCTATCATCGAGAGCCTGAGGCARCAAACCCAGGGAAGGGTGGACAGGCCAGAGAGCAGCAGGCAGGGAGAGCAGAGGCAGTCGGGACAGGGATTGTCAGGATAACCATCTGCAGCAGAGCCTCGCCAGGAGCCACCTATGGGGAGAGCTATCATGGAGCCAGAGGAGGCGAAAGCCTAGAGACAGGCAGAGAGAGAGGCGTTCTAGTTTAGAGCCCCTACTGAGCTCGCGGCGCTGCCAGTGGCGGCGGCAGGCCCAGTCGTACCTTTGGCAGTAGAGGAGGGGCTGTCACCATCTAGCAGTGAGCCGACTCAGGGCTCAGCAGAGGGATCCATGGGCGTGCTCCTTGAGGCGGTGCATACTATGCAAGAGGAGGTGAGTTTGTTTTCACCTGAGCAGAGGATAGAGGAGCCTCTTGAGAGAGAGATAGGGATTGAGGCGGAGAGTGCCATCAAGAGCAGGCTCCAGAGGATGGGCACGCCTGAGTATGGGCCAGAGCGGATTGAGGAGCAGCCCATGGCAGTGCCAGGAGAGACACTCAAGAAGAAACCTCATAGGTTGGACACACCTGAGTACGTCCCGGTAACAGGGGATTTGAGGAGCAGACTGGGGTTTTGGGCTACAGGATCTGGGTCTGGGGGACCGGTTCCTGGGACAGAGCAGCAGGAGGTCGTTAGTACCGCAGCTCCTCAAGCAGAGCAGCAGAGGGTTGTCAGTACCTTGGCAGGATCTCCTTCATCACCACCTCCTTAGCCCAGGAAGAAGAAGTTCAAGAGGAAGGTTGATCAGCTATGTTTCTACTGCAAGAGGAACGTGCATCATGCTCTGGACTGTCTCGAGTTCCTTGAGGATAAGGCAGCAGGGAAGGTCTCAGAGGCAGGGGGTAAGATGTATGATAAACAGGGTAGGATAGTAGAGAAGTCCGCAGATGGACTTAGGACTCAGTTATATAGGCAAAACCATGAGGAATTGAGGAAATAGTGCCGGTTTGTCTATATAGGTGGGCGAGTGTCTTGTGAGGCATCAGCTTAGGGTCTTTGTGATACCCTCTTTGATTTAGAGGATCTTTTTGATGATTGCTATTAGTGTAGATTTAAACTTTTGTGTTCCTACTAAGTTTGGGTTTGAGGGTCAGGGTGGTTTAGATGAGGCATGTACATATTTAGGTGGCCTAAGCCCTGGCCTTTGAGAGACAGATCTGACATGTATTCTAGGGGTAGTTGTCAGTGTGGGTTTGGTGTGGCTTGAGTTGAGCAAGCTATGATTTGGAGACACTTTCTGTGTGAGACATTGTACTCCCTGAGTGTATATTATGATGAGGTTTCCTTCAGGGACCATTCTTATATGTGACGATCACTTGTCTCTCTCACATGTGTGGTTGTACTCTAATGTATAATGAGTTTGTGTGAACAATGTGTAAAAAACCCTTTTATGTATCTTGGGTATTGTGAATATGATTGTAAGTAAAACTGTCTACTCCTCGGTATACTTGTGCGACTTGCCCATGGGCAGCTGATAGGGCGGAGTATAAGGGAAGGAAGTGCAGTCCATCTGTGAAAGGTTGTGAGGATTTGAAAATTTATGAACCCAGGAGGCTCAAAATGCCTATCATGTTGATTATTGAATGCCTAAGTTGTGATGAGGACCCATAAGATGGTCTCTCAGTGATTTTGTTTATGATAAGCCCCCTTGGATTTTGGARAAGGGGATGCTTTTGTGACAATGTGGGTTATGATAAGACCCCTCGTGATTTTTGGAAGAGGGGGTGTTTTGTTCTGTGGCGAGACCCCTCGTGATTTTTGGGAGAGGGGGTGTCTTGCTTATGATGAGAGCCCTTTAGATTTTTGGCAAAAGCGGATGTTTTTTGTTGTTAAGAGACTCAGCTTCAAAGGTGAGTAAACTGATTTATGACATGGTAAGTTACCTGATGGGTGATAAAGTCTGACGAAAAAGGGTCACTCTTTGGAATGTTTGAAAAAGTCGCAATGAGTGCAGGGCGAGAGATATCTCAGGGTGAGTGGCTGCTGGCTCTGATCAAGTCAGGGGTCACGGCCTGGTAGATTTAGCGGTGGTTTTGTTTGTAAGCGTACGAAGGATGTCATGCCTATTGAGAGAGGGCTGGTAAATGCCTTCGGACCCCTGCGTATCGCGCAGTGGGCCTGTGATTTTGTTTTGCGACGCACCTGTTTAACCACTGGTGCTGATTCTGAGACATATTGAAGAAAGACCAAGCTAACAGAAAAGAAGTTAGTACCACTAGGGCGTAACCCCATTGGATGGCTGCTAGCCGGCGCAACCTGGCTGCGGGACCGCGGGGTAAGAGTTTAAGGGGAGTTACCCGCCCCAGGGAAATTACTCCGTGGGATCGTGAAGGTTGAGATTTTGGGAGGTCCTGATTGAGTGCTTATCAGGAGAAACCCTATCGTTGCGTAACCAACGAGGGTACTGCCGTTAAATAACAATGCGGTGGGCCGTAGTCCTGGTCCGATCAATCAGGCTATGGTGGGCCGAGATGGAGATCTAGCCTTTTTGTACTAGACTGCAGAAAGAGCTGAGCGAATACTAAGTATTTGCATATGTTCATGAAGGTTTGATTGCGAGGGATTGTTTTGAGAAGGAAGGCGATAGTGCCTTCAAAGGTCTCGATTAAGGCCCGCGTCCCTAGTTTTGGCCTGGACTAGGGACACCCAACGAAAAGCCGAAGGTTCTCTAAGACCAGGGAGGGGACGATTGGAAAGGTCTTTGGAACTTATGCTGTCAGTATCCTAATATCTGGACGGTGAGAAGCCCAGGTTAGAAACCTGGCAGCATATAGTTTTGGAGGCATGGTTTGATGGAGGGCTCTACCCTGTGTCGGTCGGCTAATCGGATTGGCTCCTTTCTCGTCAGCATTTGGAATGTGGATGGATTTATAGCCTTCTGATTTGGAGAAGCGACCGGGACGTCGCTTAATATGGTCCGGTAAGCTGCCGGCGCGAATACCCTTACAAGGGTATCCGCCCTGGTTTTTTGCAGGTGACAAAAAAAAAA